GTTCCCTCTTTAGCTGTCCCTCTCTCTGTCAAATAAATAATAAAAAAAATAAAGTTCTAAGTTTCCTTCTTTGTACAGCTTGTAGAAATTCCAGATGTTTAGTCTGTGATATTGCATTATCATTCATCTCTGAATAAGTAAATAGGCAGTTTTTAGCTTCTCATATGCTTTCCTTCTTTTACCTTCTAAGAGGTAATCGTCTATGACTAACTTGTTAATTTTTAAATTGTACAATCTTTAAAATCATTATTCAAAATGTGTGCACATTTACCATTCTATTCCCCACTGCCAGAACCCCAGAGATTTCCCACTTATTAGCTGGATGACTTTGGACGAGTCTGTGCCTTTATTCCTATCTTTTTGAGTGTCAGGCACTGTTCTGGGAGCCGAGAACACAAGAGTGAACAAGACCAAGTTGTTGTTTTCAAGGAGTATACTTTGGATACAGAAGCTAGGGATAAACAGTATGATTTTAGCTAATGACAGTGTTATTCGGAGAGTAAAAAGGAGGTGTGGTAGAGTGATGGGGTGTCAGGGAAGAGCACTGTCAGCGGCCACCTCCCATGAACTCATCTTGGTCATTAGCCCAGAAAACCTCTCCCGAGCCATTTGGCACCACTCCTCTCCCCTTGTTTTAAACTGTTGCCTTCCTTGGCTTCTGTGATAAGATAGTGGTGCCATTGTCCCCTGGTCTCCTCCTGCCTCTCGGAACTCCCCCCTTTCAGCCTCCATCACATCTTCTCTTGACTATCCACTGAATGAGCCTGTTGGGCAGGATAACCATCTGTCCTGGCAGTTGGAAGAGAGCCCAACTGCTGGATCCCTCTGCTGAGAGCGCTTGCTCACATTCAGACCTTTGGCACAAGGTGACCCTGCGGTGGCAGCACAGGCCCAAAGAGCAACATCGGAGGCAAGGCGTTAAGATGGCTTCCCACAAAGTGGAGATAGAGCTTCTCAATCAGGACACAGGTCCAGCTGGCTTCCTTACACACAATTCAACACCAAGGACTCGATTTCAAGAAGGGCTAAGCCAAAGAAAGTAAGGAAGTGCCATGCTGACTGAAAGGCACTCAACATAGTGCTGGAAAACAAGCATGAGTCCTACCCTTACAGAATTTACATGATTGTTCAGACCCGACCCACGTAAGAAGACAATGAGAAAACACTGCAAAATGGCAAAAAACAACTCATTAAGCTATGGGAAACTGCCTAAAAGTGGCACTGGAGTTCAAAGAAGGAAGCCCCCAGAGTGAACTTACAGGTGAGAGAAAGCACCAGAGGAGGTGAAACTTGAGCTAAACCCTAAGGGAAGCAGGTGTGGTCACCAAAGAAGGACACAAGGGCCCGTGGTTGTGCATTGCAACCGGGCTGGATTCGGGATCTAACAGGCACAGTGAATGATACGTATGGCCCGCTCCTAACCCCAAGTAGGCTAAGGTTAACAAAAAACTCAACCCTGGGTTAAGGAGTGGCGACTTTGTGAAGAGGGTCAAAGTTCTCTTCCTCTTCTTTCATCTCAAAAACTAGTTGGAACAATAAGAGTGGGAGGTTCAAAGAGGAGTGGGATGGAATCAAGAGATAAAAGATACGGTGCAATCTCTTTGGGTCCTGGCTCTGCTCTCGGTCTCAGGGGAAATGAATAGAAATTTGGACTGTTTCTTCTGGTTCTTGAGATTCTCAGTTTTCCAGCTCAGGATATCAGAACAGACCAGGTAAGATATTTGGAGCTGAGGCCCAGCTAGTGATAAAGAAGGTGGATCTGCCTCAAGAGTCTTGTAGCCGGAAGGTGGGTGCTGTAAAAGTCTAGTAGGTAGGAGCAATGGCACCTCATCTCTAGCATTTCCAGAGATACAAATAACAGGTGCCTTCAATCTTTATAGCATTTTACAACTCTCACAGTTGCACATGGATTTCATTTTGTCCTCATTTGAGGTAGGCATATCAGACAGATCCCATTTTACAGATTTTTAAAGAAGTTTGGGAAGTTAAGTGACTTGTGGGTGAATAAACAGCTGGGCCTAAAAGCAAAGTCTTACATGTTCAATCTGGCACTTCCTCTCTAGAGGATAATGTTCCTGTGGTCCTGATCCAAACAGGCTTTCTCAGTGCCCCAGGCAAAGCTCCTCACAAAACAAAGTGAGCCTTGACTCAGAAATTCCACCCGTGGTCACAAACTGGTCTCCAAACCCAGGCGGGGTTAAAACACTGAGATACGGGGGTCGGGAGAGAGGGGTCAGGAGGCACAATACCAACCGACAAACTGTTTTCTAGGGAAAAACTGGTCTGTTCCAAAAACTGTTCTCAAAAGCTATTGAAACAGCCCAACATTGTGGGATTCACTGGGCTTTCACGTCATTCATGCTTTGCTCTCGGGTTTCCGTTCCTCCCAACCCCCACATGAAAAATTTTTCCTTCCCCTGGGGCAACTGAAACCCAGAAGAAGTGATCAGCAGACAAAGGGGATAGGCACCATCATTTTAAAATCAGGGGTGCCAGAATCAAAGTTGAAACCCTCGCCTCTCAAGCAACAAATATCCACCACACTAGCCCCACTAGGGAGTGCTTCTCCCCATGCTGCCTTTTAAAGTGTCTGTTACCCGAGAAAGCAAAATAAAGGCTTACGTGGTTTCTTCTTCCTCTTTGGTGGCATTTAACTGGACTATGTGAAAGTGATCATCTGAAGAAACCTAGCAGCTGCCCCAGAGTCTCTCTGTACCCGGCCCATGGCACTTTGGAAGGTCTGTGCCTCTGAAGCCAACTGGGATGCAGCCAGACGAGTAAGCCTCTCTCTCCACTCAGCCCAGACCAGTAAGCATGGTGCTCCTGTGGCTTGGGAAGGCAGAAAGGCTTTCAGGAGCCCAGGGATCGGTCTCTTTACTGAGCAGTTGCTACTCTTTCGGTATAAGCTGCTTCATGTTTCATGGTCTGATTCCCTTTTATTCACAATATGGAACGCTTCCCTCCTTTCCCTATAACTCTGGCTCCTTTTCTCTTTCGTGGGTCTCCCTGCTTCCTTGTGGGCTGGCTTACTACCACAGCTTTCCCCCCAGAGCTAGGCGGGGAAAGAGACACTGAAACTGCCCCGTGCAGAGCGGCCTCTGCAGCAGGCGCAAAGAGAGCATTTGCAGACTGGTTTCCTGCCCCCGCTCCCCGCCCCTGGCAGCCTCTGGGATTCCTTGCACAGAGGTGCAGAGGCAGAAAAGGTGTGGCCGTTTGGTAAAAAGTAAATGACCGATGTGGTTGTGACACATGGCATATTCAGTTCACTCTGGTTTGACAAACATTTGCAAAATGTCTCTGAAGTGCAGAGATGGATGAGAGAGCTCACAATTCTTAGGCATAGTGGTCCCTGAACTCTGACTCCGTGCAGTGCTTTTCAACCCTGGCGGCACCCTAGCAGCTTTGGAAACAAAGACGAAAACAAAACAACAACACTGTCTGGGGCCCTACTCCAGAGATTCAGAATTCATCAGTGTGGGGTAGAGCACAAGCATCAGTATTTTTTTTTTTTTAAATGCTCCCCAGGCATTTGAATGTGTAGTCAGGAGCAAGAGCGTTATGTGGTCATATGCAGAAAGTTCTGAATAAAGGCTAAATTTAGGTTTTAGGCAATGCAAAGCTATTACAGGTTTTGGAGCAAGACAGGAAACATGAGCATGGCTGTAATGTGGGAAGCTTCTCCTGACTGTACAAGGCAGAACAGACTGGAGTCAAGAAATACTGAAAAAGGGCGCCTGGGTGGCTCAGTCGTTAAGCGTCTGCCTTCGGCTCAGGTCATGATCCCAGGGTCCTGGGATCGAGTCCCACATCGGGCTCCCTTGCTCCGCAGGAAGCCTGCTTCTCCCTCTCCCGCTCCCCCTGCTTGTGTTCCTGCTCTCGCTCTCTCTCTCTCTGTCAAATAAATAAATAAAATCTTTAAAAAAAAAAAAAAAAGAAAGAAATACTGAAAAAAAAAGAGAGAGAGAGAGAGAGACACCTGGTAAAAGCCTATTATTGCACTAGTCCAAGTAAGGGGTAATAAGGTCCTACACTAAGCAGTAGCCCTGAGCATGGAAAGGAAGGATGAATTTCCTGGAACATCCCAGACTGGGGCAGTTATAGGACTATTAAGGCAAGGTGGGACAGTCCAGGCTGCCTCTGGGGCCACAGTAGGGAAAGGAAGGCAGTGAGAGGAGAGGCACTCTTGCCCAGACTCCTCCCCAGACTCCCTTGGCCCCACATTCCCTCCACCAGAACTGCAGAAGAAAGAATTTCTGATACTTTAGGGGTTAAGAACCCACGAGGAGAAGAATAGAGACTTGGTTCTTCCGGGGGGAAAAGTTCAAGGACACTAACCTAAGTGATAAAGAACATAATATATTCAAGGACACAAAACATGAAAATGAAGCAAAACTTCAAAATGAAGCAAAACTTCATACATTTGCAGACTTTTTCCCATAGAATTTTAACATAAAAACTCATTCTTCTCCTATACAAGGTATTTACTCTCCTGCCCTCACCTGAGGGGTCACTAACAATCCCATTATTTCCAGGCCACCTTAGAACTCTAGGCTCAGCTCATAGAAAGAGAAATATAGAACCAACTGCAGCTTCAAACACCTTCCTAGATGTTGCCTGAGTCAGAAAAACATAGTCAACATAATAACATTGGTAGGGTGGGGTGGCAAAGGAACGTAATCACTCATCTGGAGCGTAACCTGGCACTGCAAATAAAGGCTCTATTATCGTTAGCTGAAAGCTTTCAGGGCATAAGAAGGAAGTGAACGGGATGACCCACTTGAGACAACACCAAAAGAACAGAGAACTTCACAGCTCTGGAAGATGGCAACAGGCAGACAAATGACACTGAGCAGTTAACAGTGAACTGGGACACACCTTCAATGTCAGCCCAGCTCAAATTCCATTTTTCCCTCACCTTTCCCCAAACAACCAGACCTTTTAGTTAGCTTGTTTCCACAATACTTGATCAAACAGATCACTCTTGAGCATACACACACAAAATATGTTAATTGTTATTTTATTGTAGAGGAAAAAAATATCCTGAAATACTTGTTAGATAACAATACTTCCTGACAAAATCATTCTTTAGGGTTTTCAGGCCTCACCATCTGGTCAGACATAGTGAGCTACCCTTCACCCTTGTAATAAGCTTCATTAATATTGTCATAAACCACAGGAAAACCCAAAGATTTTCTAAATGGCTTCCAAATTTCTGCATAGATGCCCTTAATAATTTCAGAGGTAAGCAATAAACAAATTGATGGAGAAATTAGAAAGATAGTTTAGAGGAAAAAAAATGTTAACAACTGGTGAATCTAGAACAAAGGGTATAGATTAAGTGTTCATTACACCATTCTTTCAAGTTATAATTGCAGACAGACTGAAAAGTTGTCTAGCATGATCATGCTATTTTCCACACTTGCCTAAAAAATACAGCCAATTATTCCTTCTTAAACCAGAAATATAAAATCAGTTCCCCCCCAGGTGATACTCACTTTCAATTCTGTCTAAAAAAGCTTCCAGAGCTTTCTGCAAATTTAAATTAAGGGGCTACAGTACACTGATATGGTTTTATAGTTCTTGGGAAGTGTTCGAATCAAATTCTCATCGAAGGTCTGTGATGGTCACTGCTCTGTCCACAACGGTCACATGGCTGCAGCTCTGCAACAGGGGAAAAGAAAGAAAGGGAAAGTCCTGGAAAATTCTAAGAAGTCACTTTTTAAACCTTCTTATTTAACATGCCTATTCTGGCTAGTGGTTTCCAGTTTGGAAGCCAGACTGCTACTTACATGGCAGTTACAGTGAGGGGCCTGGGAATCAGTGACTCCCCAATCCCTACCTGTAACCTCAATCAATGTGGGCCCACATAGCTTCATTTACTTTTCAGTTGGATGTATATCCTAGAGTCAGTCACGAAATTTACATTTATTTGAAAGAACTGCTGAATTCATTAGTTTTTTTGGGGGTGGGGTCACTGTGTCAACCAGCTAATACAGTGCGCCCACTGTCACTTGGGGAATGCTCAGTTTTGGCATGCAAAAGGGGCCTTTATAACTGAAAAACTGAAAATGCGGGCACTTCTTTTGCAGCCTCTATTTCAACATCCTGGTACCTAGACATTTATTACATTCCAAGCAGACTGACCTATTTTTGAACAGATCTGTCAGGAAGTTCTTTCTCAAAACTCAGCTGAAAACTGTCATTCCATCAGGACTTAGTTTTAGTTCTGGGAGTCCTATGAAATGCACTCGACACCTTTTCATACAATAATTCCTCTAACACCTAAAGTCGGTTTTCAGATCCTCCCTGAGGTTCTCCTCTAAACATCCCCAGTTGCTTTCATGTGACAAGGCTCTGAGTCCCTTTTCTAGACTGGTCACTTTTTGGTGAACCCAAAAGAAATAACACTCCATGGCCTGCATGGAGTGAAGTAATCTACTAGATTTGAGGGGCAAATTGAAACATACTGATCTTATCAGCAACTGAAACTTTTTATTCATGGCATATAACTTAGGAAAAAAAAAACTTCCTAAGAAGGTCATAAAAATAAATCCTTATTATTTAAGCAGAATTTCAGAATCAAATATACCTTATCAATCTTAAGTGGCTTCTTTCCTTTGAATTCAAATCTTTTATTGAAGTACAGGCTTAGCAACTGGTGTTGATGAAGGAAAAATACTAAGATTTAATAAGCCAGGTACTTTCTGTATATTCCTTCAATTAAGCCTCTCATTAACCCTATAAAGTAGGTATTATCATCATCATCCCCCTTTCCAGATGAGTAGGCTGAGGCCCAGGAAGATTAAGTCTAATCCAAGATAGTCCTTAAATGGCAGAGCTACGACTCAAATCCATTCCTATCCCACACTGCTTCCCACTTATGTCATTTTTAGGAAGATTTGCAAAGATAAGTGACAAGGCTGATCCTCTATGTGGGTCAGAAAGGACAATGCACCTCATCAGCTCAGACTGTCTTCCCTGCTTGAAGCAGAGCCCCAATTTCTTCTATATAGATACATACACAGAAGAGAGGTGGATCCTTGCTGTGTGGATGAAATCCTTTCTGGCGACAGGAAGAAATCTCCTCTAGTCCGTGGTCAGTTAGTTTAAAGAATCCAGTTCTGCAATAAGAAAAAGCAGGTGCAGAATCAAGCAAAGGTGTTTCCCTAGTCCCAAACACACATGGATGCATGCGTGCGCGCTTACACACACACACACACACACACACACACACACGGAGTTCATTTTGAGACAGCTTCAAAAGTATGCTGGCACATAGGTCTCTTCTCTGGTGAATGAATCAGAGTTAGAGAATGACTCATCACTGCCACCACACTAGCTGTGCTGGGAGAATTCATAGTAAATAACAGGATTTAGAATGAAAAAGAAGTTAGCTGAGATAATCTGTTTGACTCTGAAATTCTTTAATCTGACATCAGTCTTAAAATTCCTATTGCTTCAAGTCAAACACTTCAAATTTCTTATGTCCTTTTCTTAGAAAAGCATCGAAATTGTTGTTCGATTATCTTTATTAAACAAACATAGTAGGTGTATCAGGATATGGTGCTTAAAAGGTAACCTTTTAAAACAGCCAATGAATACCACAATCTACGTATTTTACCAAGAACAAGGTCCTCCAAACAGAGACCTTTTCCTCAGAGGCTTTTCCCCACTAGCCCCGTGTACTGCCCCGAACCGCATCTATGGACTTACTCCTGGAACTTGGGGGAGCAAACAATGGCTATTGACTCCGGCAACATCATCTGGTAGGAGCAATGAGTGTGTAGGTCAACGCTGGAGAGGAAGGCAGTCTGTGTGGGATGAGTCTGAGAAGAGGAAAACACGTCTGAGATCCCCCTCAGGGAGACAGCCAAGCCTACCCCATGAAGGAAACAGAGACAAAGACTTCTCAACAGCTGGCCACAATCCCCTTCTCCAGCACAAAGCCATTGGCAGTCACGATGGGGTACGCCTGAAGTTCATTACTTTTGAGCACTGTAAACAAGTATAGCTTAACAGGACTATGTGAAGAAATGATCATTTCTAATTGACCATCAAGACTTTTTTGGCCCCTCACAAGCTCTCTCTCTGCAATGGAGAGTCATCCATTCTGGAACAGATGGTAGATGCCGTCCAATACTTCAACATGGTGGAAGTCAAGGACTTAAACCACAGTTGGGTGAATGATTCTTCTTCCTGAGAGCTGTTAAAAGGTCAAGCATGAGGGGCGCCTGGGTGGCTCTGTCATTAAGCGTCTGCCTTCGGCTCAGGTCATGATCCCAGGGACCTGGGATGGAGCACTCCATTGGGCTCCCTGCTCTGCGGGAAGCCTGCTTCTCCCTCTCACACTCCCCCTGCTTGTGTTCCCTCTCTCGCTGTGTCTCTCTCTGTCAAATAAATAAATAAAATATTAAAGAAAAAAAAAAGGTCAAGCGTGAGTGTGCAGCTCTACAGGCAAAAATGGCAAACGTTGTCCTATGGCTAAAGCATACCATACAAGGATGTAAGAAGCAGGGGGGCACAGCGGTAGTTAAATCACACAAAAAACCCTATCTTGTTTGGGGAAAGGACCAAGATACTGAAATTTGAGGGTAATCCGTTACAGCACCATCGAAATGTGCATTCAATTTATCTCATTTGTTTTCAATCATTTAATGTTTTTGTTTTCAATCATTTAATGTTTTATTGAGCACACCACTGTTTGTACACAAATGAAGAGTCGCATAATGCCTTATGTTCATCTTAGAGGGCTGTAAATACAGATAACAAGAATGGAAAAAGACAGCCCCAGTAGGACTCAAAAAGACTACCAACCTTCACTGACAGAAAGGCCAGAACATAAATAAGTGTACTTGATCAGCGTTCTCAAACCTGCTGTGTACAAAATGAAGCTCCCGAGGAGCCTGTCGAAAGCATTGGCTCCTGGGCCCCACCCCTAGAAATATCCATCCTGAAACACTTTTTTTTTGAAAAGCTCATACAGGGGCACCTGGGTGGCTCAATCAGTTAAGCATCTGACTCTTGATTTCGGCTCAGGTCATGATCTCAGGGTTGTGAGATCAAGCCTCACATTGGGCTCCATGCTGGGCGTGGAACCTGCTTGGGATTCTTTCTCTCCTTCTGCCCCTCTCCCCACCTATGATAATAATAACAATAGTAATAATAATAATAGAAATAAAGTTGATTCAATGATTCTTATATGCAGCCTCATCTGAGAAGCACCCCTCCACAGAAAGCCGTGGCCAGCTCACTGTGGAAGAGGTCTGCAGGCCAGGAACATGTTAGCTGAGTGCTGACAGCAAATCCACACACAGGTCCTCGCGGGGCAAGTACGAACTTTGGTGACCACAAGGGAAAAACAGTGTCTACCTAATTATAGGATCCTACAGGACAAATGGCCTGTGCCAACACCTTTCATCCCACGGTTAAAACAAGGAATTTTAACTGGGAACAAACGAGGCCTACACAAGCTGATCTAGTCCTCTGATTTCTAAAGTTGGCTTAGCTAGAAAGACAATATAGAGACACACAGCAGAAGCTCAATAAATAATTGTTAAACTAAATCAAAAAACCTTGTCTTGAGCCTCTATTCCCTTCTATTGTGCTTTCTTTTTCTCCTTCCCTTCACAATTGAATTTCTTGGAAAAACAGTTGTGTCTGTCATGCTGGAGACAGAGGAAGGCATTTTTATGAAGAGAAAACAATAAACCAAAGGAGCAGAAGTGAACAAGGAGACTGAATGCTGGGGGCAGCCTCGGCGCCTGGATGGGAGCGGACCAGCCACGGGACAGCAATGCGGGCTAAGGCAGGGCTGAGGCAAAGTTCAAGGACGGCCTCGAATACTGGGCTGGAGGGTCACCCGGTACCCAGTAGCTGGTGAGCAATACATGACCATATAAACTTTTGGACCAGGGAACCTGATTTATAGCTGGCAAAGTACAGAAGGAAGAACTGATCTGCATAATCCTCTTGCCAAGTTTAGGATCTGAGCAAACCTCTGCTTTTTTCTGTTTTTAATCCCCAGTTAGGAAGGAATGGTACAGCAATATCACAGGGGGAAAAAAGCTGAAATACCATCAACTTCAGCTCTAAATTTGTTCCTAGCTGGACCTCACAGTTTTAGAAATCCTTTTATTCATTTGGGGCTGAGTTCTACCTGCAGTCTAAACAGTAATTCCCCGAACATTCCCCCATCTCCTCCAGTTCCTAAAACCACCTGTCTCCCCTCTGGCCAGGCAGCACATCGAGATGGCAACCGTGTTGAATCAAATGAATTTCATCAACCCCTCCACACAGAACCTCCAAAATCTCTCTGTATCTTTTTGAATTCTTCCTTCGATTCTGTCTCAGAAGGATGAGTGTTTCCTACTGCATATGAAGATGAGCCCCCTTTTTGTACTTTTGATTGAATACTTTCCTACCTCAGGGATATACATGTAGGTAGTAAAACTGTACAGACAGCAAAGGATTTCCAGAAAAGCCAGGAAAGAGAGAGATTACCTGTATCAGAGGGGAAGTGTGACAGGGCAAGACCATCGGGGTGGGAGCATGCCTCTCATAATGTTTTCGTTCTTCAAATGGGTCATGTATGCACACAAATGTTTGCTTCATGATTCACTGAAGTGTACATTTATGTTTATGTCCTTTCTTATGTGATATATTTCCAATATAAAGGTTTCAGAAAAACCAAAATCGAAACAAAACACATGTTCAAACCTTTCATGTTAAGCCATAAATCAAGCAAATACTCTCTCAACCTGGCTCCTCCTTAAATCACTGTCCCATTTTTCCCCCTTTCCCTGTGAACTAAACTCTTCCAAAAATAGTGTACATTTCGGGCGCCTGGGTGGCTCAGTTGGTTAAGCGACTGCCTTCGGCTCAGGTCATGATCCTGGAGTCCCAGGATCGAGTCCCGCATCAGGCTCCCTGCTCGGCAGGGAGTCTGCTTCTCCCTCTGACCCTCCTCCCTCTCATGCTGTCTCTCATTCTCTCTGTCTCAAATAAATAAATAAAATCTTTAAAAAAAAAAAATAGTGTACATTTCACCATCAGCATAACCTCAATCCCCATTAGTTCCTCAACCCCTACAGCGTTCCTCCTCTGGCTTCTGTGCCGTAACACTGCCCTCCCCCTGCTCTTCCACCTCTTTGCTTCATGACCAACTATTCCCTATGCTCCCCTGGGCAGCCTGCCCCCAACTACTGGTGAATCTCTTCTTGCTCTCCATTCTCCTCCAGTCCCAAGGCCCCCCAGGTCAGCTCTATGCAGAGGTCTCCAAATCCCTTTCCCACCTTGACCTTGCTCCCAAGTCCCAGCCACATTTCCAACTTCCTGATAACTACCTCCACCACCAGAATGTTCATACATACTTTAAATTCAACATGCTCAAAACTGAACCCACAATTTACCCCACTTCTAAAGGAAGTTATCCTCCTGAAGCCCCTGTTTCTGCTTATGGGATGATCACTGCCACCCCCATGAGTCAGGCCTGCTCTCTAAGTCACCAGTGGCTTTTACTCATCTTCCTCTTACTCATTCCCCACATCCTCTGAAATCCTACGTTCATCTCCTTCCCAAATGCAATGTCATCACCCTAGCTCTCATCAGTAGATTCTATCACCACCCTAACCTCTTATATGATCTCTCTGCCTCGACCTACTTTAAAACTGCCTTTATTTTAGATATTCTAAGAATGGCTTTGATCATATCACTGCTCTATTCAAAAACCTTTAAAAGCTCTCCACTTACTAAAAAGCAGAACTATTTTGCCTATCTACCCAAGACCCCCCCAGAACATTGCTCCAATGTATCACATTAAAGCTTATCGACAACGGTTTCCTGATATGAACCGTAAACCCCAACAAACCAGACCTCTCAATGTCTCAGGAACACAGTCTGCTTATTCCAATGCTGCCCGCCCCTGCATATGGAATTCTCCCTTAGCCTATCTTGTCAAAATTCTAGTAAATCAAGCCAGGGGCAATCCTTCCCTCCTCTGAATTCCATAGTGCTGTTCACACCTCTGGAGGCACTTGGCACATTCTGCCTCATGTGAAGAGTGATTACTTGTCCCTTTGTCTAATCTCCTTTATGAGACTAAAACCATATCTTACTCAAATTTGTATCCTCTGGCAGATAAGAAACAAGTTTTCTACCTCCCACATACTATAATAGGGGGTACCCAATAGAAGGCAAACATTTAGGTCATGGAATGCAGACAGGAGAAGCACATGGGACTGCCTCCTGGGTAAGTATTTCCCGAGTGTAACACACCTCCCCAAATCCAGAAATGAGCAGACTCGTTTGTATGTAAGCCTCTCACACAGCACGAAAAGTAGCTTGGTCTGTGGAGTGAGGGGTTGGAAAGGAATAGAAAGAAAAATGTAGAATGATCTTTAGGGATGGAATTACATTTTACCTAAATATCACCAGAAGGTTACGCACAATAAATAAACACTTGAAAATTCGCCATACTGGTGACCCAACTGGTTTACATAAAGGTGTATGCTGCTTTAACAAAGACCGAATGCAAGCATCTGAATTAACTTCCTTGGCTCATTAAAATATTTTGATTTATATACCTTTCAGGAATATCCTTTGTATGAAGTAGAAAGAGCCTGTACAGTCAATACCCACATATACTCTAGGCCAGCGTCCTATCACCATTCACACTCACAGGGGAACTGGGACTTTAGGGAAACAAGTTCATTTTGATTAAAATGTTTTTTAAAATTAAAAAAATTAAAAAGCCCTAAGTAGTTCCCAGAAATCAATACTGGAGTAGAAGCAGTCGAGTATGCTAGGGAAGTCGAGTGTGTATCTGACAGAGGGAAAAACAATCACCTAAATACTCTGGATATAGTTCACTTTGCTCGAAGAAAGAAATAAGCAGTGTGTTTATAACATGGGGAGAGAGGAGGAGCCTGGCCCTCGGGGAGCTCGGGATTGCTTACATGGATCCAGCCCAGTGTGATGAGACTCTGCTGATCCTGTATGAGGAAGAGCTCTTCTTCGTTCTCAGTGTGGCAATAATCAGACCCGGCACTTTGCTTGGGGATGAGAACATGGGTAATGGTAAACTCATTCCTCATCTGTCAAAGGAGAAAACAGACCAGCTTGTCACCACTCCCTGGCACTTGTGCAACCCCACTCTGTCACAGCGGTGGCAAGGTAAACATCTACACGACGAAGGCCCTTCCCTTGCCAGCACGAGGACTCGTGCCCCGAGTCCCTCACTCAGTGCTTCCCAACCTCGGCTGCTCATGCGCACTCAGGGGGTGCTCTGCAAAGCCACCGGCACCCACAGCCCTGTGGGAATTTCATTTCCAGCTGCAGCCAAACCAAGAAGCTCTGGGATAGTACCATTTCTCTTCCTTTGCTCGAATCTAAGGTAGTTTCCCTCTTACTGCTTCTCTTAGCCCTTCTCATTCTCTAAGGCTCAGTTCCAGTCTTTTACATTTCACTCATTTCTGCCTTCAGCAGTTAGCAATGAGTTCTTCAAGTGCCTCTATTCAATGACCTTTCCTTCCTCTGAATTCCTAGCGTTCTACCGCATATACCATTCAGCGTGTTATTTATCTTTGGGAGTATATCTCCCATCTCTCCAAAATGCTCCGGTACGTTTTGTGGACACACGCTACGTGCCTTACATATTGTATATTCCCAGGCCTACCATAAAGGAGGTACTCAAAAACTGACATACAGGTAATGCTGGCTCTTCCTACCAAGTTTAGAATTACTTATTTCTTACTACTAGCATGAAAATAATCCGTTCAATTCAATGGACTGTGAAAATCAACGAAATGCAAGGTCACCAAACTCAAAGTAACTTTGCATTATGCTATCCCCGGTTCCTTCTCCAGAGGGATCGTCGCCAACAGTAACTGACCCTGGATATCTTCTCTGAGAGTCACAGGAAGCCAAGGGGAAAGGAACAGTCCCAGCTAAGGAAAGTGCTTGTTTTTTACCAGTTTTCCACAGAGAATTCCACATGTCTCTACTCCTCGGGCTGTGTTGGCGCTGGCTAGCTGGAGAAACTGCGGGCAGAGCCTCTCGGGCACCGCCACATGGCGCAGTCCATCGATCGTAGGAGCTGTCGTGGAGAAAGGAGAGCAGTCTGAGACCACGGGAAGAGCCTTCCCAAGCAGACCCCAGAGCTGGCAGCCCTGGGAGAGCAATGCCAAGTCACTGGGGTTCTCGAACTATGGACAATGAGTGGGGAATCTCATCCTAATGGATGAGAAGGAGGAGGGCTGTGGCCAGAGCCACTGCAAGTACATTACTTTAAGAAAAGAGGCTTTAACCATTCAAGTTAAGACAAGAGTAAACTACTACTTAAAACAAGTTCCTGAGCTATTCAGGAATTCTCTATCACAATCTCATACAAAGGATAAAAAAAAAAAAAAATAGCCTCCTCATTCAACTGAGTTTTATTTTTATTTTAAATCTCTCTTTTACCTCGGATAAGAATATTGGAGAGTAGGACTTTCAAAAAAATACACCAGATACATTCTGGGTAACAGAAAATACTTTGGGTAACTAATTCTGAATTTATTCATTTAGAAGAACGTTAAAATGCCAAAACAAAACAACAAAAACCCCCCCACATTCTGGTCCTCAAAAGAGGCATGAATGCACAGAACAGCTAATAAGCCTGGTTCAGAATGCCAAGAATGGGCCCAGTTGCTGGACACCAGGGAGAAGCCCTGCAAGAGAGACCACAGGCTCAAGTTAGGGGGTGTTTTTCGTGGTCACATCTTCAAAAAAAAAAAAAAAAAAAGAAAAGGATGTTCTGTTTCTGCACATTTAACAGCAAGCTCTGAATTGCTGGGGAGGTAACAGACCGGGGAGCAGGCAGTCACGTGGCAGTCTAATGGCAGTATCTGAGGATTCTGAAGGAAGGCTCGGCATAGTCCTTTCTTTGCAATTCCACAACCACTCCCCGAGTGCACACCAGTGTGCACACCGTGCTCAGATCACAGGAAACACAAATATGAGTAAGACTCAAGCCCCAAACAGGAAAAAGTTAAAATCTAGTTATTGGCAAATGACTACACTATCAGGGAAATGATCTCAACTGCATTACAGATACTAAGAGCTCTGGGAGTCTTAGGGAGAACAGCATCAATCTGAACGAAAGGAAAGGGATCTGGCAAAACTTTAAGAAAAGCAGGGGAAGGCAGAGATAGAGAAAAGAGGTTTTAGGTTCAGGGCAAATGTTAACAAACCTCCTTGGATAGGATAATCCAGGGGCTGCTCTGGGAACGTGACAGCCCAATCTGACCGGAGCACAGAATATGGATGAAGGAAGAGCAGTGGGAGACAAGCCTGCCAAGTCCATGGGAAGAAATCCTAAAGGCCAGGCTTCAGAGTCTGGCACCCTCTGCCCACTCTTACGTTGTCCTTATAAGTGGATCTTCTGCAAAGCTCACTTCCTTAAATGCTACCTGAAGGCCAGTTCCTTCCCCAAATGATCTATTCTACTAATCGAGGTATATGCATCATTTTGCTGCTACTGTTACTGTCTCAGATGGCCTATCAGTGGTGAGAGGAGGAAAGACTGCCAATAGTTTTTATGGCTAGCCTGAATCATCATCGACTGCATATAGTATTTCCCTTGACCAAGCTCCTTAAGGATTGGGAACTTTTTTCAAGGCAAGCGCGACTCAGTAGCCCGTCTTCAGTTTTTAAAAGTCAACTGTTGAATTATAAAGTGGTACTATAAATTTCAGGGCCAACAGTGGACTCTAGTTCACTGAACATTTTGAATCTCTGTATAATCCTTAAAAGTTGACGGTCTGACCTTCAAGGATATTATGAGCTCTTCAGAAAAGCAACCTGCGCCAGGTAAATTATATGGCTGAAGCAACGGCCACTTTCACACGACAGCCAGTGTGACAGGACCCAGCATGACAATACCGACCAAAGGGGCTTCTGTGACCAGGGTCTAATGAGCGGGATCATGGAGGTGATCTTGGGCTGAAGCCCCCAGAATGACACTCTGCCTGGCTGGCACTGAGACAGAAGAGGACAGCAGCAAGCAGACTCACTACTTTCTGAGTTGCTCAATGCTCCAGGTTTCAAGGACCTGTCCACCACGGGTGGCTTGGCAGGCCTCACGGCCGTATTATAGTCCAAAGACTGCGCGGACGCCACGGGGGCCGGGGGAAACACGTCTGGGGAGGGCCTCTCCAAGTCCGGCACCAGGGGGCCGCCGAGGCCAGGGTCCACCTTCCCAAACTCCTGCACGATTTTCCGTCGCTCCTTTTCCAGCTCCTGGTTCCGGATCATCTCCTCAAAGGCATGGAACTGCTCCTGCTCCAGCTGCTGCTGCTTCTGCTGGGCCACCCTCTGCCGCTCCTTCTCCAGCTCCTGCTGGATGGCCACGCTCCGGGCCAGCTCTTCTGCTTCTCTCTTCTACAAAGAAAGAAGAGGAGTCAGGCTTACACATGACACTCGGGCGACTTCCCACCTCCGGACGACAAGGCTCTGCAGCCGAGTGACTGCTCAGGCCCCATTTCCCGACATGGCCCTCGTGTTTCCCTCACTGCCTGTGTCTAGCCGGCCACCGCAGCCCAACTCTGCAGGGACAGCGAAGGTCCCAATCCCCTCACCATCCTTCCCCGATGGCTCTTACTAATGCATTTTCGTCTTTACTGAAATCTTGATGCAACTTACCCTCTGCACCTCATAATCTGTATCCTACAGTTTTATTCTCTAACTGTGCTGTGTATACATTCTTTATCCCAAGTAAGGCTGAAAGATAGAACCAAATCTAAACTTGACCCTGCTGTATTGGGGGTCTTTACTGAATTTTAACCCAAAAGGAAGTCTCCAAAATTGTCCTGGTGATTAGTTCAATACAGAGTTTACATTTTAAACTAACAAGAAATATCAAGCAATAATCTCCTTCAATAAGGTTTTCACTCACTCAGTCCCTTAGAAATAGACACCTCATAGCTGTTTACCTCTCTGCTGATCTTCAGCATCAGAGTTCAGAACAGGGCTCAGCAGAGCACTACAAAATAACGTGGAAGGGCCTGCAACCGCAGTGAGTATTCACATCTGACACAGACCATAGACGTGCCTTGGGAGTTTCTCCACGTGCTTAAACTAACTCTCCCTAACAAGAATCATTTGAAAACAGATTGAAGAGCAATCAGTTATTATAAACAGGTATAACCAAATGTGAATCAACACCCCAAAATTAGCTGACCTAAAAACTTATGTTTTAGTGACAATTTTCACTGTTCTTAGGTTCTCACTCTAGAGATAGCAAACAAGATTTTCTATCCCTCAAGTCACCTTGTAAGACAAGTAGGCTAAATCTGTGTTAGAATCCTCAGCCTAGGGGCGCCTGGGTGGCTCAGTCGTTGGGCGTCTGCCTTCAGCTCAGGGTCCCAGGATCGAGCCCCGCATTGGGCTCCCTGCTCCGCGGGAAGCCTGCTTCTCCCTCTCCCACTCCCCCTGCTTGTGTTCCCTCTCTCGGTGTGTCTCTCTCTGTCAAATAAATAAATAAAATCTTAAAAAAAAAGAATCCTCAGCCTAAACACGTGTGTTCTACTCTTTTGAGTTTCTGGCCTTTGCTGAAAAAAGTAAAATATGACACTAAAATCACAGGATCTGCTAAAATATTGTATTGCAATGCCAGGGCACAGCCTAAGAAACCAAAATAATTTCTTTCTTTCTTTTTTTTCTTTTTTGCTCTTATATACTTACCTTTTCTTCATTATATTCTATATATTCTTTGGTATATCGTTTTAATAGCTCTTCCTTCAGCTCTTCTGCTTTGGGAAATGCAATCTCCTTTAACTTCTGAGACACAAAAGTAGAAAACCGAGAATTAGAATAATTCCCAGCTAATTAAGTAGAGAAGTAAAAAAGACTTAAGTCAACTTGGCAATGGCAACAATGTTTCTAAAAACAATGTTAAATACCCCCTACTGTACCATACCTGCTACTTCATAACTGATCTGGTGAAATGGCCTTATCTCCCAGTGCAGGATTTGAAGCTCAGGTGAGGACACCACTAATTTTACCTTGAAGTTAGTCTGTGTTGCTTTGAAGCTTTTAGATGGGCAACAGTGAAAATGAAGACCCACCTTTACTGTGTCTTTCTTTTCAGGAATGACAGCCGATTTGTAATCTCGATGCTTTGGGAGTTTCTCAATAAAGAGCCTAAAAGAACGGATCAGAGTCATTATCATGCAAAGACAATGTCCAAATGTCCAACAGACTCTGAAGAAAAGCAACTTCCTTGTCCTGCGGCCACCACAAGATGGGTTTCCAGACATGCAGGGGAGGGGTCACACACACCCAGTGACCATGTTCCCCACCCACCTCTAACCGTGTGTTTCCCTCCTCGCCCAAATCGGCTGTGCAGGAAGCACGAGACTCCCACAACTAAAAAGATGAGGGGGGAAGAAAAGCAAACCTACCCTGTGCCCAAAAATATTCCTCCAAAGAGATTCTTTTCTTGTTATGACCGTGACAGGTTTCCAAAGGAAAGGGCCTCGGTCACAAATTCTTCTTCAAATAACGGTTTGGCAACCAAGGGCAGGAGGCTGAGAAAACCCATGTTCCAGGACTACTCTAGGCCTGTGACCTTAACTTTGGCTTCTTTTTCTTTGGGATTCATGTGCCTTCAAAACAGAATATTCCTTGCATCATACTAAACACTGAGATGCTTAGACAGTACATGTGTTGTATGTGTGTAGTATGTGCGTGTTCCATGTGTGATGTGCATTATGGTCCTGATGAAGAGTTCTTAGAGAAACTAAGTGCTAGATTTTCTCTTTCAGTTTCATCCATGGCTGTAAAGCTCAGTGGGAAAAATAAACTGAATCAATTCACAGATCTCTAACGTTTATGATGTCTACTTGGGAACAGTGAAAACAAATAGAAGTTCAGTAACTTGTCACAGCCCAAAGTGGCAGATTCAGCAGGCCAGTTCCAGAGTCTACTCTTCTCACCACTATATCATTCTGCCTCTATATGGCTCCTGGAATGCCCCCAGACTGTTGGAAGGGTACCGAACAAAGATGTCTTTCAACAGAACTAAATTGTAATAAATACAAGCTGAGACCCAAAACAAATCAATTGAGGGGAGCTTACCCACAGCTCTAAAATACCATACCATAGTTGGGACTAACTGACTCTTTTCCACTTTCTGCCCATGGGTAGGAGTAAATGGAGGAGGAAGCCTCAGTAAGGGGAAAGAATTCGACCCCCACCAAAGCAAACTCTTTTTAAATGAGCCTCCTCCCTTGGTTCTATATTAGGCACATGAAATTTTCATTTCAATCCAATTTGACAAGACCCTTCAGGCAGGGATGAATTCTTAAATCAAAATGATTTTAAACCTCTTCCCTTTGGGTTCATGGAAAAAGAAAACAGTTTCCTTGAAGTCTATATTTAAAATTCAGATTCATTTGTCCACCCATCAAGCCCTGAAGAAGATATTAAGATAAGTAAGACTAGTTCTTAATGTTCAAGAGACCCATAATTCAGTAACTCTCTCTTGGCTCTATAAGACCAAGGTACCTGTTTGTAACTTTAGCAGGCTGAATGTGCTTTGTATGGAAGCCTGAATCAGCCAAGACAGTACCATGTCACATGACCACCACACTTTATATTCACTTGTGCTCTCAACCTGAAGAACTGTGAAGTCCCCGAGACCAGAGATTCCTGTGTCTTGTGCTTCTTTGCAAGTCCCTCTAAAGCCACCATAGTGCCTGTATGAAGAGGCACTCAATAAATATTTGAGGAATAAAATGGTCTCAAAACCTTCAGATGAGCTGAGTAAAAAAAAACCCCAAAGTACACAAAAGTGCATATAGTATGCCACCTGATATGTAAGAAAGGGGGACAATTCTATGTGTGTATGTACATACACTTTTACCTTTTTTTAAAAAGATTTTATTTATTTATTTGACAGAGACAGAGATAGCAAGAGCAGGAACACAAGCAGGGGGAGTGGGAGAGGGAGAGGGAGAAGCAGGCTTCCCGCGGAGCAGGGAGCCCGACGCGGGGCTCGATCCCAGGACTCTGGGATCATGACCTGAGCCGAAGGCAGATGCTTAACGACTGAGCCACCCAGGAACCCCATACACGTTTACTTTTAAGTACACAGTAATACAGGAAACCAAGGGAAGTAGAGGGCAGGGGAAATAAGAGTAGATGGGACAAGAGTGGGAGGGAAACCTCTCATCATACACTTCTTTCTATTATTTTGATTTCGAGCCATGGAATGGAATCTAGTTTTTAAGTACAGGGAAAACTTCTAGATGTGTACATGAATACCTTTCTCTTGTTTCAGCAGCTGTAGTCAATTTTCTGAATGGGGAACATATGGGCAGAAGGGTCTCTTGAAACCAGAACAGACAACACAACCCACTGTCCGTACTGGAGGCAAGTACTCAGCGGTGAGGAGGCAGGCTCTGGAGCCACGCTGCCTGGACTCAAATCCTGGCTTGGCCATGACTAGCTGTGTGAACTCCAGCAAGTTACTCGGGCTCATTACCCTTCAGTTTCCATACATATATTATATATATGGAGACAAACTAGTACTACCTGATAAGGTTGCTGAGACACTTAAAGAGATTTTTTTAAAAAGTGCTTAATGAGCACTGGGTGTTATGTAAGACTGATGAATTACTGACCTCTACCTCTGAAACTAATAATACATTATAGGTTAACTAACTAACAAATAAATAAATAAATAAGAAAAAGAAAAAAAAGTGCTGAGCACAGTGCCTAGCACATAGCCATCTGCTACGACTTGCTTTGTATGCTATATGATTGTTTTTACTAATAAATAAAAAAGTGTGAGCAAGAACAGATGAAGATGGTTAACACCAGGGCTAGAAGCGTTGTAGGCATAGAATACCCATGGCCCAGAGGTATACTGTTCTCTGGGGTTAGATCTCGTTGCAACTTAGGGTAAATGTATCAAAGCAAAGGGAAAAACAAAAGCAAAACAATATTTAGGACAATGGGGATAAAAAGAGATACACAGAAAAGGAAATACAAAAGGTAAATATACGAAATGGTATTCAACTTTACTTACAATAAAAGAAATGCAAATTAAGATGAGGTACCATTTCCATATTATCAGATTGGCAAAGGCTTAAAGGTTAATTATAACCAATGTACACAGGGGTGTAAGGAAATACACTTTTAACAGGACTGTAATTTGATAATACATTGTACTATCACAGGACTGCAATTTTGCTGGGGGTGGGGAGGAGAGACAACTATTCAAATTTTAAAATCTGTATATCCTTTAAACTCACAAGTCCACCTCTAGGAATTTATCCTACACAGTAATACAAAGACATGTGTATAAGACTATTCAATATAGCATTAGTCATAAAAATAGAGAAAACTAAAAACTTAAATGTCCATCAATAGGGGATTATTTAAAAAATTATGTTGCACCCAAATGCGAAAAACAACATAATCGTTCACTCATTCATTCAACAGATATTTATTGAGCATCTACTATGGGATCAGGCATTCTTGTAAAGGCTGGGGATTGGGCAGTGAACAACAGTCATAAATCCCACCCCACAGGATATGCGTTACAGTGGTGGGGGGAAAGACAATAAAAGAAAAAAATATAATCAGTGCTAGAAGAAAGACATTAATAGGGAAGGGGAACAGGAAGTGACAGGGGAGGGAGTGAGATTTTAGATCACGCAGCTAAGGAAAGCATCGCCGAGAAGATAGCATTTAACTGAGGACGGGAAGAGAGGAAACCATGAAGAGATCTGGAACAAAACTGTTCCAGGCAGAAGAAATGGCCCTGAGGAGAATGAGATGTATCAGTATGTCCTGATATGGAAGGAAAGCAAGTTGGAGAACAGAATATACTGTATGATCTCATTCAGGCTTTAAGAAAAAAAAGAATAAACACATGAGCCTATGTGCTTGCACGGACATAAACATTTTCCTGTATACACAAGAAATTAACAGTGGTTATCTCTGGTGGATGTGACTCTTCTTTTCACTTTAGTATTTCCCTTGCTGGATGGTTTGAAAAAAAAATTGTTTTAATCATGAATATTAATTTTCTATACAAATAACTAATTCAAAGAGTCAAGCAGAAATTCTCTAACATGGATGGATGAAGGACTCTCCTCTCATTTCTTCCAATCTTGGAAATTATCAGCAAAGTGAGCATGATCACAGATCCTAGTCTATAAGCCCCAATCCCAGAGGAAAACTTTTTTTTTTTTTTAAGATTTTATTTATTTATTTGACAGAGAGAGACACAGACAGAGAGGGAACACAAGCAGGGGGGAGTGGGAGGGGGAGAAGCAGGCTTCCCGCAGAGCAGGGAGCCTAATGCGGGGCTCAATCCCAGGACCCTGGGATCATGACCTGAGCCAAAGGCAGAAGCTTAAAGACTGAGCCACCCAGGCGCCCCAAGGAAAACATTTCTGATACAGGTGACAGACCATTTTCAGAAAGCAGGTCTGTGTTATAGGAGGCTCACACAGCAGACAAGAATTGCCTAAGTCCTCTGTAACTCCCTTCTATGTAGCCTAGTCAATGACCATAAAAAGCTGTGAAAGAATTCACGGCCTGAATTATTGTCTGTGCTCATCATGAAAATATGTACTGATTTAATATGCTGAAGATCCTGCTATACTGGGGTCTGCAAAAGGCAAAGCATTCCTACAAGAGGGAAAACCTCTGAGAGGGAAATGTGCTTCAGATCATTAAGATGCCTGAACTGCCCCAGGAAAAGAACAAACATGCCTTTTAAAATCCGGAATTAAAGTATCCACAAAAGGTCAGGAACAATGACTTGCAATAGTGGGGGAGGCAGAGGAGTGGTGAGGTAGATGCCTGCTCCCCTCCCTCCTCTCTCCTCAGTTGTAATAATTGCCTAAGTGAGCCACTGTTACTGACAAGAATATACCAAGAAAAATGCGGTGGAAAAACAGACTAAGAATATTAAGCCAGAACTTTTTCGCAACTCCTACGGCTTGTCAGTTCACAAAACCAGAATTAGGGTCTTAAAGATACCGGCGAGAAAAAATGGAAGTAACTACATTTATTGCTTCAGGTCAAGCCAATCCAACAAAGTCCCAAATTAAACTCCAAATCTAACAAAGTAAATAAATGAGCTGCTACATCCCACCCCCTTCTCACTGAGCTCTTCTGCAGGCCCACTTCATCGTATTAAATGGTCCCATCAGTGGGCCCCCATATACAGGGACAGATTCCCATACTGATCTCCCTGTGAACATGGATATTCGTGTCACTCAAAGTAACCCCAAATCACAGAACAAAATCGATTTAAGTATCTGTGTACTCTTAATCCTACCTCCTCTTGCCTATTCAAGAGTTTATTGCTACAGTTAAGCTCTCACTTTTTGTGCTGTACCATCAGCTTCTCCTTCTCCACAGCTTCCGTTCCATCAGCAAAAAATATGCTCTAGAATCTCCCATCTCAAAACACACACCACACATTCATGCACTCCTTGTCCCCCTTCAATTACTCCCTCATTTTTCTACTTTATTTCTCTGCCCAAACTCCTCCAAAGAGTTATCTATGCCAGGGCTTGGCAAAGTACAACTAGTAGGTCAAGTCTGGCTTGCCATCTGTATCTGTAAATGAAGTTTTGTTGGAACACAGCCACACCCATTCATTTGTGTGTTATCACACTAACAGAGATCAAATGGCCTTCAATGCCAGAAATGTTTATTATCTGGCCCTTTATAGAAAACATTTGCTGACCCCTGGACTATACTCATGGTCTCTGCTTTCTTATTGTCCATTCACCTTTCAGCCCACTCCAATCTAATGTCTTCTTAGTCCTTCTAGTGAAACTGTTTACCAAGATCACCAGTGACATCACGACACCAACCTCAAAACCTCACCCACCCCATCTGACCCATTCTGACGCAGCTGGCCACTCTCCTGCAAATACTGGCCTCCTTTGGCTCCCATGACAACATTCGCGCCTGGATTTCCTCCTGACTCTCAAATCTCCCTTCAAGTCTCGTCTGCTGGCCCTCCCTACCTAACCAACCTCGAGGCTCTTCTCATTCTACAGTCTTATTATCAAGGTTTCTTGATCTTTGAATGTGTCATGAATCCTCCTAGCACCTGATGAAGCCTATGGACTCCTCAGAATAATTTTTTAAAGATATAATATAAAATATGAAGGATTACAAAAAAAACCAATACTCCTGAAATACAGTTTTCAAAATATAAAAACAGTACTATGTGCTTCTTTACTGATACATTGTTAATACATTACACAACAGGATCTAATTGTGGCTTTAATAACTGTACTGTAATTCAGAAGTAGAGGTAAGTGTAAATGCTATTTTGGGATATCAGCATCAATCATAATGCGTAATAAAAATATCGATTCCTATTGGTGACATTACAAATATTATTAATACTACTGTGCAAAATGGAAGAAAATGCTAAATTTCAGTTAGAGGTTAGTAAACAAGAAAAGTTTTTCCCAACTGAGTTCATGGAGCCTACATTCCATCAGTGAATCCCTGTGGGGTTCCTGGACCCCCAATTAAGACCTATCTGCCAGAAGATCTCAGCAGCTCTCATGGCTTCAGAACCACCCAAATGCCAAGGACTTCTGGGTTTGTCTCCAACCCAGACCTCTCCTCAATTCAGACTGGTACGTCCAACTTCCTACTGGATATCTCACAGGCATCTTAAACTTAACACCTTAACATGTCAAAGAAGCCAGGCCTGAATTCTTGAATCTCCTCCCTACTCAACCCCTTTTCTATACAATTCTCCCCATCTCAGTAAATGGGCCAGCACATCCTGAAGTTACTCAGGGCAGAAACCTGAGGTCAACATTGACACCATCATCCTTCCCAAACTATCAGTCAGTCCCATGGACTCTACCTCCAGAATGCCAATGCACCTGCTTCTTTCCATGCTGCCACACTCCTTCACGCCATTGCCATTGGTCTCTCCCTTGAATTGCCATAAGAGTTTCCTAACTAATCACCCTGCCTTCTTTTTTTTTTTTTTTAATTTTATTTATTTATTTGAGACAGAGAGAATGAGAGACAGAGAGCATGAGAGGGAGGAGGGTCAGAGGGAGAAGCAGACTCCCCGCCAAGCAGGGAGCCCGATGCGGGACTCGATCCTGGGACTCCAGGATCATGACCTGAGCTGAAGGCAGTTGCTTAACCAACTGAGCCACCCAGGCGCCCACCCTGCCTTCTCTTAACACACCCTCCATTTACCACATAGTAGCCCAAATTTATATTTTTAGAATATAAGTAAAATTAAGTCATTACCTCACCTAAAACTCTGCAATGGCTTTCTAATGCTGTCAAGATAAAATGCAAACTCCTAATTGTGGCCTGCATGATTTGGCCCCACTTGCCTCTCCAGCCTCATCTCCTTCTCCCTCCTCACTTGCTACACTCCAAACACAATGATGTTCTTTCAATCCTCAGAACACACTAAGGTATTTCCTACTTAAGAGCTTCTGAACACACAGTAATACCTGTTTTAAACACTTTGTTTGCTCCAGGGTCTTGGAATGACCAACTCGGTGGCATCCTTCAAGTTTCGGTTTAAATTTTACCTGCTCAGACAGACCTTACTCTATTTGATACCCTTGGTTATTCTCTGTCACAGCACTCTCTCTGTTGCTTTCCTAGCATCTGCCTTATTCTGTGACATTTATTTCCTTACCTGTTTATTGTCTTCTCCCATAACTAGAAAGGTACACTAAGAAGGGCAGGGGCCATTTTACTTCCTATACATCCAGGACCTAGAGCAGTGCCAAATAGAGAGCAGACGTACGCAATATATATTTGTTGAATGAATATGGTCCTTGCCCTCAAAGCACTTTCTATGAGGGGCAACAGAACCCAGAAGGTCCTCCAGAAAATACTTGATAGAGTGATTCCATGATTCTATTTAACTTTCTCAACCATGATTCTTTGAAGAATTGTGCCCTAGGGGCTCATTCTGGGAGAACTCTCTACAAGATTACTGGAAATATACAAGAATATTATTTCTACCAGCAGCAGAAGAAAGGGACAGTAATCAAAGAAACCTCTCAGGAAAGTAAGTTTTGTGCCCACTGTGCCGAGGAATGAAAAACTCATAATAGCAAAGAGAAGCAAAAATGTAACTATAATTCTATGTAACTTTATCAACACTGAGGTCACATAACAAGGCATGTTATGCACGATCTGAGGAAACAGGCACTACTTTTAAAAAAACTTAAAAAATAAAGAGACAAGAGCAGTCCCTTTTCTACCGAAGGGACTCTAAAATCACAGTACAAATCCCAGGAAGTCCACTTCTAGGCTACTTTTCTTTAGAACACTGGTTTTCAACTCGGCCAATTTTGCCGCTTAGAGGCCATCAGGTAATGTCTGGAGACATTTCTGGTTGTCACAACTCAGGGAGGGGGGAAAGGGTGCTACTAGCATCTACTGGATAGAGACCAGGGATGCTACTAAACACTCTACAATGCACAGGACAGCACCCACAACAAAGAACTATTCTGCCCCAAATGTCAACAATACCAAGGTTGACAAACCCTGCTGCAGAGCATGTGATCAAAAACTGAATGTGATACAACTGAAATGCATTTATCATTTCTAGGAGAACACGTAGGAAACTAATAAGAGGGACTGCCTCTGGGGAAGGGCACTGAGAGTGTGGGGAAAAGGGAGGGAGAAGGAGACTTAGGTTTTAAATATATATACCTTTTCGTACCTTCTGAATTCTCTACCATATGCACGTTACTTATTCAAAAAATAATAAAAAATAACCAAAAAATAGTCAGTGTGGCTCAAAGCTATGGTCTCAACTCTAGCTTCAACTCACAGAACATTACCAAAAAGAAAACAAACAAAAAACAAGACCTATGTTGTAGATTAATCCTGAATTAAGAGTCAGAAAATCTAGGGGTGCCTGGGTGGCTCAGTTGGTTGAGCATCCGACTCTTGATCTCAGCTCAGGGTCCTGTGTGGACCTGTGTGGAGCCTACTTAAAAAAAAAAAAAAGTTAGATCTGAGTTTTCTCACTCTAAAGTGTGGAACAAAGCATATCACTAAACCCAAAGCCTGCTTCCTCACATGTAGAATGGAAAGACAATATGCCCTACTTCATGTACTTAGAACTATGAAGATCAAATGAAACAATGCAGGTGAAATACTCTGAACTATTAAGAGTTATACAAACACATTATAGTCATTATTTTTCTAAAGGTCCTGGTATTACGAAAGAACAAGGCTAGAGATTATAAATGAGACCCTTTAACATTATTCCCTTCCTAAATTACACATCATTTCATTATCATTGGGGCTTTAGAAGTTGTTCCCTGTTAGATGCATGGCCATCTTCTATTTATGCTGCCTACCCTAAGATGCTAAGTAACTCAAGGGAAAGGTCTTATGGTGAGCCACACAAACTGTAGGTGGTCAATACTTATTTGATGATTTGCATGATTATGATAAAGGTTAAGAAGAAAACCTTTTTCCTGAATCACTCAATTTGTGACAAAAGAAGTAGAGGTGAGGAATTTTGGCTCTGCTAAACCTCAACAATAATCCTATGATTAGCTTCCTTAATAAAGAGATGACAGGAAAAACATTCATCAATACAAAACATGTGTAGTTTAACCATCCTCTCTCTTGCCTAACAGCTGGGCCACGTGGGCACAGGCCAAAAAGCTAGGTCTCTTACTCATGAAATCACTGAGTCATGAAAATAACACTTTCAGTACTCATGACTTTGAATGTCAAGGACAGTCAGTATGTAGGAGCTGCCTGCAAAAATGATTAATGCTAATGATGTCGTAAAGTTCTCTAGTTTTAGCAATTCTGAGCAGCATAAATGAGCACAAGTGCAGAATGAGTGAGCCATCAGTCATCGGAAAAGAAAAAGGAAACTGGAGGTGTCTTACGTGATATACTTGTTATAGAGGATGAAGGCATGTTCAATGTTGCCTTCCTCAGAGTAAATGGATGCCATTCGTATAATCTCGACTCCAGAGCGGAAGTACCGTCGAGGTGGAATGTCTTCATTTATCTCCACTGCGCTACCCATCTGGGAGAGGGCCCTCACCCGGTCTTCGGGTGGAAGGCTCACATCTCCATGGTCAGACATCGGGACCAAGAAGTTCTGAGACAGAAAAAACAGGTGGCATGAGCACCATGGTCCCCATCCCCCTAGCACAGCCTAGCACACAGTATGGTTCATCCCCGAACTTCTACCTTACAAGGAAATTAAGAGAGAAATACCATAGGCTGTGGCTTGTATCAAACGAGGTCTCTTTCCCACAAGAAGGCTGAGACCCTTGAGGAAGCCCATATCACAAAGATAAAAACACTGGCTGACTCAAAAGCCCACAATACCTGTGCCATAATTAGGTGGTACAGGGAGTAAAACTATAATGGGGGTTCAGTTCTATCCTTCATATTAATCATTCCCTATCATTAGGTGGCCCTGCCCTCAGCACCATAAAAGGATGGAAGGTATCTTATATTTTTTGCATTATTTCTCCTACCAGCTACCCACTTCCATCTATCCCAGTACTTGGCACAGTATAGGCAATGAACTTTCTTGATAATTGTAAGCTGGTTTCAAGTTTGGTCATTTTTATTTAATAATGAGAGTAAACGACATTTTTCTCTGGTGTACTTTTTCATCTCTGATCACAATGTGAGGGGAACTGGTCTGGGAATGAATGTTCACAGTCCCAGTTCTGCTCACTAAACCACTCTTCCAGTCAATCCACAACATCATTCATCATGTCAGGGTAAGGAATTTAGATCTAAAAAAAACTTACTCAAATCTATCTTCAAAGACTAAGCACTCTTCAAATAACAAAAGGGCACAAAGGTAAATTGAAACGCAAAAAAACAGACCAACAAAAAACTTGAGAGTTTTCCCTTCCTGTGTTTCAAACTGCAGTAATTCTACAATCTTTCTAGGTACTGTTGCTGTTAGAATCAGATTCCAACTCCCAATCAGATATCACTCTACATCATTTTTAAAAAGAATCTGGGTATCTGTTACACATCGAATTTACAGCACACCCTAGCCAGCAGGCTCTAAAATATACAAACTAGAGTAGAATCCATTTTGGAATTCAAGCCCCATGTCAACCGGTCCCATTTTGTCTTTTCAGTCTTAAACCTTACTCCTTCCCAACAGAGATCTTTTGCTTCAGTCAGGATTCTGATCTGCCCAGAAATCCTCACATGTGTTTCATTTGTCTATCCACTGTTTTTCTGTTTTCCACTCCAAGCCCTCCCTCAGAGAGGCTTCTCTTGGTCAATTCTATCTCTAGGTCACACTTCTCCCAAGCTTCCTCTCTAAACACCCTCAGGAATAGTACAAAAGCTGTGCGGACTACGAGGGATGCAGAAGCATTCCATCTCCCCCAAAGCCGTTTTAGAGGCTCAGAAAGCCGCTCAGCAAATCTAAAACTTCCCCAGGTTGCCTAATTAGTAAACTCGATCTAGAGCCCATTAAAGCTAACAGAAGCTTGTTGCGCCTCTGTACCTCTGGGGAGAGGATCTGTAGGGTCGAGAATGGAACCCCCTCCCAAGGCCAGCGAGCCGTGCCTGGTACTAGAGGGCTGAGCAAGACTCCCGAGATGTGGCATCCGCAAAAACGGGAGAAGGTGGCATAAAAGACTGAGGAGGAACGATGAGGAGGAGGTCAAAGGAAGTTGCAGGAATGAGCGGAGGGGGTGTATTCAATGGCGAGGGACCTCCTGACACCTGCTTCAGGCCCCCTTCTTGAAGGCCCTCAAGCCCAAGTTGCCAACCCAGGGCAAAATTATCCAAGGTTTTCGGGTCTTTACAGAGCAGCAGGCGGGGACGCGCTGGGCCTGGCTGGGACGGGAGCCGTCAATGGCCTCGCGCGCGGCGGGCCGGGCAAGGGCGCGGGGGAGGACAAGGCCGCAGGCCCCACACTCACGGCGGCCGCTCCCCTTCAGAGTCCGACCACGCTCAGGGCCCCAGGCCCACCACATTCCCGGGACCCTTCCCCACCTGTCCCCGCGGACGACCCTCGGAGCTTCCGGAAACGTCACATCCGGCGCGCGCCCCGCCCACTCCAGCTGGTCTACCCCTTTCACTCTCAAGAATACAGGACCCGGGGTGGCAAGCTGGTGGGCGGGGTTAGAACCTCGACCTGCGAAAAAACCGACCAATGAGGAGAGAGCTCCACGGCGGCCATCTTGGTAAAGGAAAAGCAACAAGGAAGAAGGGGAAGCAAGTAGTTAAAGGAACCGATGGTCAAGCTAACTTACATTTTTAGAATTAATTTGATTTGGGGTCGAGTTTCCTGCCAGATAGCCCCTATACCACACTCACACAAATCCACAAATCAACATTCAAGAAGCGATTGGTGATGCAAGTACCTGACTGAACTAACCAGGGTTTCTAAATCGGTGAAAAAAAACCTGAAAATTTCAGCTTGTTTATTCCTACACAAAATTGATAGCCTGAGGTATTCGGCAATCGCTTCTATTGCCTAGAAAAGAACTTAAGACTAACTTTTAATGTTAGAACCAATACAATTTATTAAAAATGAGTGTTTAATTTCTAAGGGCCACTGTGCAAAGCAATGGAGACACAAAAATCTGTATGATGCAGTTCCTGTCCCTGCAGCCAGGACAGGCGGTTATTTATACCAAGTACAAACAGTGGCATATTCTGTGTATGGGTGTGTGTATGAATATATGCACAGACTCTTTCCAAAAAGGTTCTTCAAGCCTGCTATTAATTCTATCTCAGGAGATTTTGTGTATCACCACTCTGAAACTTTCTGCTCTCCGGGATACTTTACCCACCAAACTTGGCGACCCTCCCTGTAAGTTCCTTAACGTGATGACATGACCTATCCTTCAAGGTCTTGCTTAAAGCCCCTGCACTGGTGTTACCCCTTCCACTAGATCAGGGTCCAGATCTCTAATTTCTCTGACTCTCTGTTGTGTATCTGTCTTTGGGATTTTCCCAAAGTGATCCTATGTGGTCATTGGCTTTTCAGACTTACGCTGAAAGCACTTACCAGATTCTTTCTCCCCTACAAGCATAAATATGCATGTCAGTGCAAGGATCCACTATCAATTCTCCTGGACCCCATGCAGAGAACCCTGGCAAGACAATTGTAAAGGGCCAGTGTTTGGGGGCACTGTGTAGGGAAGGGCACCCTACTGGGTCTTCACAATATTTCTCTACTGACTCTTTCCCTTCAGAATGTAAAAATAGTGGGTAGCGCCTGAAGAATTGAGGCACTGGGGGTGCTGGTCATAGGGAAGGCATACAATGCAGTCAAAGTCCTGGCAGAAGTCAACACAGAACAAAATCCAACCCATCCAACCCTCTCAGTAAATACTTGTTGAGCATCTACTATGTGTCAGTTTCTGTTCTAGGTGTTAGGGATAGAGCCGTGAACAAATCCAGCAGGTAGATATTGTTATTCTGCAAGTACAGACAGAAACAGAGCTGGTGGGGGGAACAGAGACACCTGCTCCCATTAAGCACAGTTTCCAAAAAGTAGCTCTTCTTTGTAATGTTTAATATAACAAGTTAACAGAATTTACAAACATGCTAGAAGTTAAGACTATGATGAGAAGCCTTTAAGAAGCTATGAGTGGGAAACACATAAAAGAGGGGTGTGAATAATCACAAACACAGCAACCATCACACACAGGCTGTCCTGGATATTAGAAAGGAGGTATGCCCAGCTGATGGCAGTTCTTAAGATAATGGCTAAGAGGATATAGTAAGCAGGATCTGGTTCATTCAGGGAGGGAATTTGTAAATATTGAGTTTTTGGCCTCTGGGGCAAGTGATCAGCACTCTTGGCTTTACGGGGACCAGAAACAACAAGCAAGAAAACACTGGCCAAGGTGAACATCTGACATTCTTCATTTCCTAATTAATTGGGAAAGTTGAAAACTGGACACTTTTTTATGTGCAACCAGGAAATTAAGAATTCTGTTGGCTCTTAGCATAACTGAAGAGAGTATTCTACTTACCCCCACCTCAAAGGTTGGAAGCTAAGCATCAAGGTATTCTGTCAGCAGATAGGCTTTAGCAGCTCACCTGGTGGGTCAAAGCTAAGCTAGGAATTGAGGTGCTCTTTCTTTCTGGTGCCCACACCTAGTCAGTACATTTTCCCTGAATATAACAGTCTCCAAATGACCTCTTGCAAAGTTCAGTGTCACAGACTCCTGCACTCCTGTAGGCTTATTTCTACCTGCTCATTCCTGGGCAACAGCAAAGGACTCCTAAAAGGCAAAATTCTTACCTCAATATATAGCATCAGGGTAGAGAGAAAAATGCCCAAATGGGCTTTGTGGAGAAGCTAAAAACAAGGAAGACTCCAGGCACATATCACTTGCCTGCTTGTTACTCCTGTGGTGAGAGACATACCTATAGGGACAAGGCAATCTCATTAGTACAGGGATGACATCCATTCTTACCTACTTCAGTGCGATCTTACAACAGCAGCTAATATTCTTTTTTTTTTTTTAAGATTGTATTTATTTATTTGAGAGAGCAAGTGCACAAACGAGGAGGAAGGGCAGAAGAAAAGGAAGAAGCAGATTCCCCAATGAGCAGGGAGCCTGACACAGGGCTTGAACCCAGGACCCTGGGATCATGACCTGAGCCGAAGGCAGACGCTTAACCAACTGAGCCACCCAGGCGCCCCTAATATTCTTTTTAAAACAAAAATCAGGTCCTATTGCTCCTGGGTTTAAAACCCTCCAATTACTTCCCATGGCACTTGGAATTAAAAAATCCAAATTCCTCACCGTGGCTTATAGAGTGACTTGGTCCCAGCTGTCTCTCTGACTTCATCTCCTACTCTCCCTCTTGCTTACTAGTCTCCACCACGCTGTCTGAACATCTACTATTTCATTCTAGACCTTTGCACAGATGTTTCTTCCTGAGATGCTCTTACCCTGGTCTTCACTTGGCTAGCTCCCTGTTGTCATTCACATATCAGTTTACATGTCACCTCCTCTGACCACACACTCTAAGTAGCCACCCAGTCACCCCCTATCACTCGACCTTATTTGAATTCTTTTCATAGTCCTTACCACTGTCTGCTTTGGTCTTTTAAGGTCTGGATTGATTATTGTCTTTCATTTCCCCTTAAGTTAGGAAGATAGGAACTTTGTTTGACTTGCTTACAGGTGTATCTGCAGTACCTGGGATAGCTTGGGACCCCAGAAAACACTCAATATTGTTCAAATGTTGTTAAAATAAATGTTGTCTCACAGTCCCCAAAATTAATTATAAGGATAGCTAGCCAATTATGGTGATAACTGAAATGAACAATGAAAAACAGTGTTCATTATACTTTGGGGACCAAGTCCTCTCTACAAGGCAGTTAGAGTTAGGAGCAGGAAACCTCCAAGGCTAGACACCTTCATTAATTGAGCAAATATTTATTGAGTATGTATCATGTTCAGGACTCTATGTCAGGCAATGGGTCTACAATAATAACAAAGGAAAACTTAGTTTCTGTTGTTATAAGGCCCTCACAGATGAGAGCTTGGGACCATCAGAAGGGGAAAAGGTCTTTAAAAGATGATTAAGTTTCTCAAGTAGATGCTAGGTGAGCTCCATGCCCCGAAACACTGAAACAGCCTATTTTGAACATTGCTATGGAATGAGAATGCTCTGAAAGCAGAAATGGGATGTGTACTAAAGACAAATTGTTCACATTGTTAAAATTCTTGCTGTGAACCCATTGGGAATATAAAATGACAAATAGAATTTTGAAAAAAAATACTTTAAAAAAGATGTGGAATGAGCTGTTCAAAAAAACGGGGGGGGGGGATGCAGCAAGTGTACTGGGATCTTTAATGCTGACATATTGCAACATATGCAACATTGCACATGCATGCAAATTATGTTCCTTTTCAGTTGAAGTTGGAATTACCTGATGAAGTTGTTCCTTGAGAAGACAGCTACAGTAAAATTGGTAACATCAAGATGAATCTGAGGTTTGGAGCTCCACCTACAGTTTGTTTGAAGACTGGTAACTCCAATGCCAAGAAAAATTTCTAGCTGGGAAAATTCTTATGCATGCTTGGAAAGGTTTTTAATGTGTGTGTATTGTTACAATTAATGCTTAAATGTATACACAAGGGGTCAATTTAATTTTAGACATATTTTATTCCTTTGTTACTTGCTAGTTAGCTGTGAGTTAAAGCCTTTTGTTTTAGGTAAGATTGACATTCTGAAGATTGTAAATTTCAACAAGGGTTAAATGAGATAAGAAACTTTAGGGTTATTTGAATTGGACACTTTAGATTGAGGGATTTTATAATTTTACATTTGCTTTCCATATTTCTTTGCGAAAACACTGCCGTATGACTAGGCACTATACCTTTGAATGGGAGATTTAAAAAACTGCATGCCACTATAATTATACTCTTTGAAAAATATTCGTTCAGTCAATCAGCTAATATTTATTGTGTACTTACCATGTGCCAAACATTGCTCAAGGCCTTGGGCATGTATCAGTGAACAAAGCAGACAAAAACCAAAAAACCGTGCCCTCAAAGATCTTACATGTTAGTGACAGGTGAAGGAGTGATGGATTATAAACAATTATCACATTAAACAAGTAAGTTACCTAGCGTATTAGAAGATTCTAAGCGCTATGGGAGAAAAGGGAACAGATTGAAGGAGAGGAGAAGTGTAGGAGGCAGTTGCAATTTCAAATAGTGTGATCAGGTAAACCCTCATTGAAAAAATTTGAGTGCAGATTTGGTGGTAAGAAGAGCATTCCAGGCAAGAAACAGCAAGTGCAAAGGCCCTGAGCCAGGAGCTTGCTCGTGTACTTAAGGAACAATGAGGACTCAGCGTGACTGGAATAGAGATGAGCAAAAGGGACTATAGCAGTAGGTCATGTAGGGTGGGGGTCAGC